ATAAAGAAGTAAATGTTCCACTGTCCCACCACAGCCATCTTAGGTCACTTATAATATGAATAAAGGTCATGGCAGCATCAGAAAAACAGTAACAAAACTCAGACACATCAAAAGCTGTGACTGTGACTTTCCTTCCCGCCATTGATTACGGTGACATTATTTACATGAACGCTCCTACGAGAACCTGCAGATGTTGGATGCTGCAGATGTTGGATGCTGTCTATCATGGTGCACTAAGATTCATAACTGGCTGTGATTATCGTACCCACCACTGCACCCAGTATTCACTGGTTAACTGGTCACCATTAACTTCACACACACTCTCCCACTGGTACATTTTCATCTTTAAATCACTTCCTGGTCTGCTGCCTTCATACATCTCCTCCTACATGTCTCTGTGTGAGTGCAGCTACAGCGTGCGCTCTCAGGACATCATTACCTGCAGTGTTCCCTCAGTGAGGACTGAACTAGACAAAAGGACCTTCTCCTACTCCGCTCCTGTTTCCTGGAACATCTTGTAAAAAGATCTGAAGCTCTCGACCTTTGACAGGGACCAATGCAGACATGTTCCTGTTTTTAGTTTTCTACATTCACCTTAGAATCTAGCTGTTTTTGATACTTTTGTTTTTTGTTTTTTTTAGCCTTCCTATTTGTTGAAAAAAAAATTGTGACTTTTTATAACTGTTTATTGTTGTTGCTGTTGTCCATTGTTGTCATCTTTCTTTGTTAAATCAGGTCTCTCTTGTAAATGAGTCCTCGAGGCTCAATGGGATTTACCTGTAGAAATAAAGGTTGAATGAAAAAAAAACTACACATCTACCTGACGCAGAAAACAGAACAATGAGACCAGAGATCAAAGGGAATTTTCCTCAAATTAGAGTTTATTTAAATTCAGTGACTATTAAAAAGGCGCGTCTCTTTTTTTTCTCCTTCAGCCACTTACATTACATGAACACCTCCACCCAGCACCGACCTCCATCAGAAAACTGCATTCACCCCTTTTAAAGTGACAGAATTCAACTCAGATAAAAGATTATTAAAAAGTACAAATCTGGGGGTGGATACAAAAGGATTTCCAAGGCTCTAAACATCCCCAAGAATTCTGTTAAATTCATCATCAAACTAGGGAAGGAATTCTGACCCTTTGCAAGTGACGTCACGCTCTTTGGAAAAACGCCACCGCCGCCATGACGGATGTCAACACACCGCCTCCACTCCTGTGTAGCTAGTTAGAACTCAGCTAGTTGTTTGCATAATATCCTTGTTGTTCTGTTGATTTGTCTATAAAAATGGTCATAGCGTGCTGCGCTGGCTGCTCAAACAGACGAGGAAGGAAACCAGACTTGTCCTTTTATCACCTTTTGATGAGGACTGAAGACGGCGATGGATGGCAGCCATCGACCGTAAGGACTGGCAGCACTCGGGATATTTGCAGATTTGCAGTGAACACTTTTTACAAGGTAAGAAGATTAACGTTTGTATACTGTATAAGTAATATTTGTAAGATTTAATAAAATATTGCAATGTGGAAACGGAAAATCTTTCACCATCATGAAAATGAATACAAACAACATAAAACAACAAAATAAGGCATAACAAAAGCATTTCCTGATTTTTTTTTAATATATAAAATGTATTAAACCAATACAGTAGGTAATGTATATACTGTATGTCTTAGAGCAGGGTAAAGTACTTTCAGTGACAACATAAAGTGTTTTCTGTATTTTTTTAACCTCAAATGTCTCACCAGATCAAGCTAACATGAAAACAACAAAGCTTGTGTTCAAACAAGAATTATCACTTTAACAAACTGTATCTGGGCCATTTTCACTTAAACCATGTTTGTTCTTCATTTAGTGAAATAACTCACAGTGTGTAGAGCATCTAAAGATTGTACTCATGTAAGAGTACTGATACTTAATTTTAATATTACTCCATTAGTTAAAACTCCAGTGTGTACTCTGACAAAAAATATAAAATGGATGAAAAGATGCGTATAGAATATCCAGACTGGTATTTGCACTTAATAATCTGAATTTACTCATTTATTGGTGCAGATTATTTTATTTCATGCTATCAAGCATATTGCTGTTTCAAAATGATAAGCATGATGACCATTTAAGCATTGTATATTTGATGACTTAAACTACTGATTTGTTTTACCAGAGAAGAGCCAGGACCCCTTGACACCTGCTTGTCACCTGATTACACTAAACAGAGGCTTTTTGGATCAGCTTCTACCTGGAGATGTAATTCTTCCAGACCGTGGTGTCACCATCCAGAACCAAGTCGGACTGTACTGTTTTAAAGTTGAAACACTGACATTCACACGGGGCAAAGAGCAGCTGGGTGCAGTTGAGCTGGGAGACGCCTGAAGACTCGCACCAGTTCACAAACACGTTGAGAAGATCTTTGGACAAGCATGTTCCAAGTATAAGATGTTGCATGGACCTGTTCCCATCAGTCTTTTGCCAAGTGATGATGAAGAGTACACTACTCTGGACAAAACTGATAAGAGTGGCATGTGCCCTAACAAATCTGTGCCCCTCTGATGTCCCAGCTGATCAACAGGAGTGTTCAAATCTCTACATTTGTAAAATAAACTTAACAATATGTAATCAATTAGTCAATTCCATGAAAAGATCAAGGCAACTTCATTTGAATACTGTAAATAGTGTGGGTGTGGGCGGCTGTGGCTCAGTGGTTAGAGCAGTCGTCCTCCAATGCAAGAGTTGGGGGTTTGAATCCACCAGCAGTCACATGCCGAAGTGTCCCTGGGCAAGACACTGAACCCCCTCATTGACTCTGATGTGTGTCCATCAGTGTGTGAATGTGATGAAGCGCTGATTGGTCTCTTTAGAATGATTTGTTCAATTATCTCTGTAGAGATCTAGTATAGAGCTGTATGAATGGGTCAATGAGGCACAGATTGTAGTAAAGAGCTTTGAGTATCTTGAAATAAGATAGAAAGGCGCTGTATGAGTACAGTCCATTTACCATTTACTATATGAGGAGGAAGTTTATCCTGCAGTGTGGGCTGCACAAAGATGCAGCAGGTGCTAAATCATTTAAAATCATTTGTTTGAAATAAAAATTCCATGTCCATTCCTTGTGTGGCTCATCCATCAAACACCCAATTGTGTGTCATGTCCAAGCTTACTTTGAAAAACCATGATAGAGCAAATCCGCGGAAAATGAACCACAAAGTACCGGGGGACTACTGTATTAGTCTCCTGGCCAGCAGAGTTGTGAATGCTATAAAGTCCATTTTTTTGGCAGGGGAAAGAGCAAGTGGAGCAGGTCATACTCCAAACATTGCAGGTAAAATATTAGAAATGATGTCCTGTCCTGTTACATTAAACAGCATAAGAATGTTTTCAGACCAGAAACTCTTTATGAAAGAACAGCTGTGGCCTGTTGGCATCGAACACACAGAGAAGACACTGAGTCAAATCTTCTACTGAGCCTGGCTTTAATACAATGAGCTCAATGTAGAGTCTGACATTGCATTAAACTGTCCAGCCCTGACTGAAGATCTGTTCTCTCTAAAATCTTCCCCAAACAACTGAAATCAGAAGTCCCACACGTGTCTCCCATACAGGTTTTAACACAGGATATGGAAGGTTAAAATATTTAAATATAAAGAAAAATCCCTCGTCTGAGCGAGAAGAGAGGCTGCAGAAACACTTTAAAAGCAGAGGTTAGGAAAAGTCTGGAAATGAGTTACAGAATTGTAGTTGAGATGGAAGGTATGTGAAAAATGAATCTTTCAGGGAGAGACAGTTTGTTCGCTAACTATTTAAAACAAGATTAAGTAGAACCATACGAATCTGTTCATCTTTTATTACCTAGCTTAGCCCATGTGGATAAAATGTAACCCAATTAGGACAGAAGAAAAATATATCTGCTAGAAATGCTCTACCCGAGTGTGTTTGTAGTGAAAGTGGAGTCTAAATTAAAGCCAGACTTAAGACAGGCGGACCCGTTCACTTTCTCAGTGTAACTAGAAGTAGAAGAGTGAAAAGGTGAGTGTAGGGAGGGGCTACTGGATGATCAGAACATAACCACATGTGAGGGGGGAATTCATTCTCCTCATACTGAACCCATTGATTCACATTTCTTATGTTAGTTGTTTAGTAAAATACAGTTAAAAATGTATTTCTCTAGGCAGAAACATGATTGAAGAGCGTTCTCACAGCTTCGGACTTGACTGTCAGGACAGAAGTCATAGTACAATGGTCAAATGTCTGCAGAATGAGATTGTTCTGTAACTGACAGGCAAATTAACCAATCACACTTACATGTAGAGTGGGTGGGACAGAAACAACAAATAAATAAATTGTATTTTTATCTGATTTATTTCACTACAAACTAATCATCAACCTGGTCTGTAGTTGGATTTGTTAATCTGATGAAGTCAGAAAAGTAGCACCATAATCCTGTGGGACGTCCCTAAAAGCTACAGAGAAAACAACAAACCTGTCCAGGATACTAGAGTGGACCATCAGCTGGATGAGCAGCACCACAATCCCATTCTGGCTTATAACACAACAGGTTAAGCAGAACGGATAAATACTGAATGTCTTAGTGCTGTTTAGTGTTTAAAGGAAAGCAGCAACATGACAAGAAAAATGATTCAAAGAAAGACTCCTGAGAGTGGCTCATGTTTCTGCTTGCAACATTTAACTCAGCTTTGTTTGAAAAGGAGTTTGATTTGCAGTTTTGTTTGTCCATCATCAGAGACTTTTATCACCACAAAGAAGAAAAAAATGGTCAGTCTGATTCCATCCATTAAGGCTTGGTGCGTAGCGTTGAACCGCCCTACAGCCACAGAGCTGTATGTGTCACAAAACTGCAACATGACTTTATTCAGCTTAGTGATTTTTCTGATTACAATAGGTTAGATGTATAAAGGTAAATGATCTTAAAGAAAGAACAGCCCATTTCAAAGGAAAGAGAAGTTATGAACTCACCTGTTCACACTCAGCAAGAACACTCAGAGTCCCTGCAACGTTACACTCACAGTCTGCAGGAGAGAGCACACAGCATGTTTATTATCAGGTCTATTTACTGCCTTCTGAGTGCTGCTCAAACATCTCTTACTGGAGCATCCATCCAGAGAGTCGGGGGAGAGGTTCCAGTACAGCGCTTTACATTTGTCACAAGCAGGGCCTTGAACATGACGACGGCACTCACACTGACCCTGCAATCAGGAGGAAACCAATCAGTCTGTTTCTGCTGAAGACTATTTGTCTGCATTTTAGACGTTAAAAATTAAAACCAAAATAAAGGCAAATCTGTCAATTATTGCTTTGTCCCTAACTTAAAAAATAAATGAAATAAAATAAGTCCATCAGTATTTTTCCTGTTAAAGCCCAAACATTTCCTGTTAGCACATTTACGAATGATTACCAGTAGTAAAACTCACCACTGGTGGCAGTACTGCATACTGAATAGAGCCGTCAGGATGACACGCACCAGCTGTCAAAGACAAACACATGTACAAGTGTAACTTTTCACCACTTGCTCTTGCTGAGGTTGGAGGCTTTTCCCCTCCCTTCCATCTCCGCTTTGCTGCTCTGTCTGTGTGTGAAACTGCTTCTGAGCCTCTCTTGCATCTTCTGAGCCATAATTATGGACTTGATTTGACCAGTTGGTCCCTCAACTCAATTTACAACATTTCTTCGAAAGAGAAGACAGGCTTTAGGCGAGTCGATTTGCCCTGTTGGCACACATCGACTTGGAAGATTTGATGATGTGTCTATCTCTGCTGCCAACTGTGGATTTTAAGGACGCATATTTAATTGGATTTTCGATAACTGGTTCCTGCTTTTTGGATCTGGCTGGTTGCTAGTTTTACCAACAATCAAGGAAGTCGTCAGCAGCAAATTTGGACCCAATCACGCTGCTTGCCTTTATGGTGGCTTGGTTCCTGCATCGAGTGCCCAGACTCAAATGCTTTGGGAAGAATGGATCAGATCTCGGGGATTTACTCAGTCGTGTTCCATCGGTGTGGCCATGTAATTTGGACATTTTGGAACCGTTTGGATCTGAATTTGGCTCCCTTGGCTGGCCTTGAAGGTCATCTTATCTGAATTCGCCTGGACAACATGTGATCTGACGCTCACCACCTGCTACCTGAGGAATTTCCAACTGATAACCAGATGAAACCAGCTGAATAAACGTGCCATCATTTCAGGACTCGTGGATTCTCATAGGCGTTGTCCTTGGCATTCCCCGACATCCCTTGAGAATGTTTACAAATCTCACTGGAGGACATTGACTGATTATTACATCCTTATCAGAACTCTTACAGTGCCCTCGAGAGCGTCTATAAACATCATTACCCCATATCTACCCCACTCAAGGAGGTAGTCTCTGACTCAAGGTGTCAGTTTACAGCCAATAACAGAGACTTTAACGTAAAAGCCAACTCAAAACAGGAAAATAACATGAGAAGACCATTTTCATGGGGAGGCCAAAATGGCTGTGATTCATTAAGCTGCGTTCTGCAAAGCTCCTGTCAGCCCCGCTGAAAAACTGCCTTTTGTAACTATATTCTCGCTGCCTCCACATTGGATTCTGCCTCTGAGATTGGTGTCGCAGGGTCGATACGAAGGAGCTGTAATATGGCCACTAAATTAAAAAAATCTAAAATGGCAAGGTCTTTACCCATGCGGCCTGGTGACACAGGTGCAGCCTCGGTCCGCGGTGATGCCAGAGCAGCAGGTGGAACGGCAGGTGCGTTGGCCCCGTCCTCGCAAGGCTCGTGAGAGATGGTCGAGTAGGCTCTGAAGTCAGATATTCTGGCTTCAATTAAATCTGAAGTAACGGCGATAATTAGGATGGAGATGAAGGCGGCTCTGATCAATATGATTTTAACTTTATTAGGAGCGAGCTGCAGGCAGTCAGAGTGGAGCAGACCTGGGCCCAAAATTTGATTAAGAATCTAAATTCCTAGTCATGGCGATTCTAAATAGATTCTAAAAGCCCCAAAATCGATTTAAAAATGTGTTTAAGTTTAATTTTTTCCCACTCATACTCCCAAGCGTACAGCATATTGAACTACCTGTCCACCCGTCACTGTAGAATTTGGCCATGTAGACTACCATACAGCAAGCTAGTTAGTTAGCCAGCTCCTCTTACCTGATGCTAGCATGGAGCTGGAGGATAGCATGATTCAACCCGTTCCTTCGTCGGTAAAAGTCAATGTAAAGTCATTTCAGATTCTACAATGTTCCAGGGAAGACGGAGCTTAACAAGAGCACGGTTGTTTGCAAGAAGTGTAAAATAAAATTACAGTACAGTATTTTGGAAATATGACAAATGCGAGGAAGGAAGATGAAAGTGAAGCAGCCGACCAGCGAACTGAGCAAACTTCCAGCTAATTCTCCAAGAGCTCTGAAGATTTTCCACCCCATCTCCTGCACAAAGGATTTACAGACAGCTCAGTCGAAGGCAAGGGATTCAGGTTTATTTTTAATACGCTGGACCCAACGTACGTTATTCCTTCACGTAGCTTTTTTTGTGATAAAGCAGCACCACAACTTCACCATGAAACAGAATAAAGTGGTAGAAGCTCTGATGCAGCTGCAGATCAAAGGAAACTTTTATTTTTCATATTATACTAAAACTTATAGACAAGTTGTACAATAAACGTAATGTAATTTGTCTTTTTAACAGGTTGAAGAGATGAGACACATCACCTGGAGCCAGTTCTCAATGATACAGTTTATGGTTTATAAATTACAGTTCAGAAGTGCTTTTGTGCAAACTTGCACAAGTTTTGAAATTTTGTTAAATATTTACTAAATATGAATCAATATGTTAAGACTGAAGTCTGTATATTTCATATTAGGTTAAGTTTAGAAAATATAACAAACGTTAGAGCAATATGATTAAAAATAACTGAAGTCTGTATTTTAATTTGAGTTCAAGTTTAATGTACTATGGTAGGCTAACAAAACTGATTTTGTTTGACCAGTTTGACAAGACTGTCAACCAGGAAGAGGGCCGGCAATGGAGGAGGGGGCGTTCGAAAGAGACCATCTTATCACAAGCAGAACTGGTTTGTTCCACTTTGGAGTAAGCTGTTGGGGTAAGAATCAGTTTTGTTGTGTGTTTCCTTGACTGATGAAGCCTTCCGGATCGAAGGCGAAACGTTTCAGCACAAAAAAAAAAGAAACAATCCAGATGACCTGACTGAAAAATGTTGGATTGTATACCTGGATTATTGAGCATGGATGTTGTTGTACACAGCTCTAGTTACTTCAAACTGAATTTAATACTTTGTCTACTGAGCAGGCAAAATATATCATTTCAAAATCTAGAGAGGGTTACTATGAACACGGTGAAAAGGCTGGGTGATTGCTCGCCATCAGCTACGGTGACAGTCAGTCAACCAAGCTATTCCAATAATAAATAATGAGCAGGGAGCTGCATGTCACAATGATGCTGTAATTAATACATCTTTTAGTAAATTTTACCAGTTACTGTATATGACTGAGTCATCAGCTATCCTATCAGACTTGGATAACTTTTTAAAAGATCTTAAACTTCCTTCAGTGAATATTGATCTTGGAGATTTGGAGAGGGAGTTCTCTGTGGCTGAGATCAACTGTGCAATCAACAATACTCAAAAAAGGAAATCCCCTGGACCAGATGGCTTCCCATCTGAGTGTTTTTAAAAGAAATTTTCAAATGTGCTCTCACTAATGCTCACTGCTCTCATTAATGTCTGTGTTTCTGTAAAGTGCCCTGAGACAACTTTATTGTGATTTGGCGCTATATAAATAAACTGAATTGAATTGAATTGTGTTTGAGGAGTCACTTGCTGCACAGACATTGCCACTGTCCATGCGTCAATATATAATCTCAATGTTACCTAAGAAGGAAAAAGATCCTCTAAACTGCAGCTAATATAGACCTATCTCACTTAAATACTGACATAAAAATTCTTGCAAAGGTCCTGGCAAAACGATTTGAGTGGGTGGTCCCCACAATTGTCCTGCCTGACCAGACGAAGTTTGTTAAAAACCGTCAGACTTTTTTCAATTTTAGGCGGCTGCTTGGTGTGTTGTACACTCCTAGTGTGCCCAATCACAACTGTGACAAAGTCATTCTCTCATTAGACACTGAGAAGGCATTTGACCGGGTGGAATCAAGCTATCTCTTTGAGACTTTTAAGTTATTTAAATTTGGTCCCAAATTAATTTCTAGGTTGAGGCTGACATATACCTCCACAATGGCAGCAGTCCGCACTAACTGTAACATCCAGATATTTCTAACTGAAACAAGGTACGAGATGGGGTGCCCGCTCTCACCACTTCTAGGCTTCTATGGGCAACTGTGGCTGAGTGGTTAGAGCAGTCATCCTCCAGTACAAGAGTTGGGGGTTCGATTCCACCAGCAGTCACATGCTGAAGTGTCCCTGGGCAAGACATTGAACCCCCATTGCCTCCAATGTGTGTCCCATCGGTGTATGAATGTGATACAGCTCTGATTATTCTTTGTACAGAAACAGTAGAGCGCTGTATGAATGGATAAATGAGGGCACAGATTGTAGCGTAAAGTGCTTTGAGTATCTTGGTAAGATAGAAATGTGCTATATAAGTACAGTCCATTTACCATATGTGCATTAGCGATAGAACCACTAGCTGCTGCTTTACGGAAAAAACTTCATCATTAAGGGAATAAATCGAGTAGGCACAGAGCATAAAGTTTCTTTATATGCTGATGACATGCTTTTGTATGTATCTGACCCTCTTACCAGAATTCCTGAATAATTTACTTTGCTTCAAATTTTTGAGAAAATATCTGGCTATAAGGTTAATCTTCAAAAGAGTGAGCTGATGCCTGTGGCCACTTTAGAAAAGAAAATCTTAGACACTGTACCTTTTAAAATTAGTTAAAAAAAAAAAAACCTTGGCATTTGGGTAACTTGAGATCATAAGAACCTCTATACAATTAATTATCTACATTTCATGGCGAACCTTAAGTCAAGTCAAGGTTCTTTGTCATTCGCACCATATGAAGGATATTGCTAAATGGCAATCCCTACCTCACACTCTGCGGGCTAGAATAAACTCTGTAAAAATGAATATCCTACTTCTATAAGAAGGATAATACCTTCTGATATCCTATTTCTATACCTTTTTCAGAATCTGCCAATCTTCCTTACTCAATTATTCTTTGCTTATCTGAACAGCCAGCTATCAGTGTTTATTTGGAATAAAAAGCATCCATGGATTGCCAAAACGGTCTTGCATCTGCTTCACAGGCTTGGAGGCATGTCACTTCCTAATTTCATGCACTATTACTGGACAGCTAATAACAGATTCTATTCTGGTTGTGTAAGGATTCCCCTTCTCTCAGTTGGGTGGCTTTGGAGAGGGCCTCAGTTAGATCGAGTTCTCCTTCTGCATTACTCTGCTCTCGACTGTCTTTTAAACAAGTTAGCATC